GGTCCAGTTGCAGTACTCGGAGAGTACCAGAAGGATTGTCAGTTGAGTAAGTTGTGTTTCCAGAATGTTCAGGGTCAGGGTTGACCCGAGATTATTATCCGCAAGGATTAATGTTGGTCAGAATGACCTGGCGGAAGGCCAGCGCAGGTAGTCAGCCGATGTTAGGTCTACCAAACAGAGTGTTGAAAGCAAATTGCAGTGCGATTGGCCGTCGAGAAGCTCCGAGGACAAAGTCTAGTTTAGATTGGGGAGAGTTGTAATACCCATAATAAGAAAGACCAAGAAAGGAAAGGAAAACCCTATGTTAAAAGGCCAACTCGTCGAGCCCAAGGAGGAACTCAGCGAGTCCGAGCGGGATCCGGGTCGAGGAGTAAGTGACCGACTCAGCGAGTCGGAGAATGGAATCGATGAGTCCGGTCTAAAGAGGGAAACCCTAAATCCGGGACTTTGTGCACTATTTAAGCACCTCACTCTCTTCCTTAGGGTTCCTTTACAGCTCCCCTCATCCAGAACATCGAAACCTTGCCACCATATTCGTTTTTGAGCAAAGATCTAGCCTTGGTGTTGTGATTTGAAGCTTGGAAGAGAAGGTAGTTCATAGTGGTGCAAGAGGAAGCCTTGGATCCAGAGTTGGTGTGACTTTTCAGAGAATTTGAAGGTAAGAAGTCATTACCTTCACTCCTTTGCTCATAGTTTCCTTTTTGTCATGAGATTTGGGGCTTTTATGCCATGTCCTAGAGCCAATTGGAGTCAGAAGTCCAGATCTGAAGTTGCTACTTTAGATCTAAGTGTATTCTGGCCTAGAGAGTCATAAAGTATTAGTCTTGGGGGTGTAGGTGAAGCATGGTTGTCTTAAACCCGAGTATGGAGTGTTTTGGGCCTAGATCTCCTTAGCTACACGTAAAGTTTGCAACTTTATGTGAGGAGTAGGCCTTGGAAGAGTGGATGTACAGTTTGGAGTCCCTGCATGACTCAGAAAGCCTCTGAATGCATGAAGGATTGAATAGACTCGACGAGTCCTTCGAGTAGACTCGGCAAGTGGTATGAAGATTAGGAGGAACTCGACGAGTTTGATGAACAACTCGGCGAGTCTGTTGAAGTTTACCTTGGACTCGGTGAGTCTGTTCTTGGACTCGGCAAGTCAGGTCGCGAAACCATGAACCTTTTGAGTTAAGACTCGAATCAGTGGGTCGAGTGGAGACTCAGTGAGTTTGACATGATAGGACTCGGAAATCGGTGGACTCGGCGAGTCATGGGTTGACTCGGCGAGTCGAGTCGTGAATGGAAGGACTCTGAGCATATGAACTCGGCGAGTCAGTAGGCAGACTCGGCGAGTCAGTAGGTAGACTCGGCGAGTAAGGTTGACCTGGAAGGTTGACTTTGACCAGGACTTTGACTTTGACCAGAGTTGACTTAGTTGAGTTTCGGAGGACATTTAGACTAAGTGTTATATTTGTATTGATATCTCGGGGAGCTAGTGGAGCTGCAGTTCAGAAGAATTGTTGGGCAGCAGCAGAGGGGTTTTAGCAAGTTTAGCAAGTGCAGGTGAGTTTCCCTTTGTGTGAATGGGTCTAAGGCCATAATGCCGACCCATGTAGTTATGAGTAGAAGACCCGGGGGTTAGCCCTAGGCACAATATGCTAGTATGATATTCAGGATGATGTCCAATGATAGCGGGCGGGTGCCCAAGGAATAGTTTATATGATAGTTTATACTTGTTGTTTATGTGATACATGTATGTGCCTGGTAGGGTGGTGAGTGTGGGCGAGGTCCCGTATCTCACCAATAGCAGAGTGTGGATGGTGTTCCACATCTCATTAGCAGCAGAACAGGGGCGAGGCCCAAGTTAGGGAAAGAGTGAGTGTGGGATGGGCCCGTATCTCACTATTAGTAGGAGCATGGATGGGGTTCCATGACTCATCAGTAGCAGGACATGGGCGAGGCCCAAGATAGGCGAGGCCTCAGGACATGATTTATTAGTACATGTTAGCTTATGTGTTGTGATATGATTATGTGTTAGTAGATGCTAGCGGGCGAGGCCCAGTGACAGGCGAGGCCTAAGTGAAACAGATCTGTATCTGAGTGGGGCTCGAAGCCAGGCGAGGCCTGGAGCGGCGGGGCCGTTGTAGCGGGCGAGGCCCAAGGTAGGGGCGAGGCCTAGAATAGCGGGCATGGCCCAGTATGTGCAGTATGTGTTGATGCATGGTATGTGGTAGGTTGGGGGAACTCACTAAGCTTCGTGCTTATGGTTTTCAGTTTTGGTTTCAGGTACTTCTGGTAGCGGAGGGAAGAGCTCGGGGTGATCGCATGGCACACGCCATAGATTAGACAACCTTGGATGTTTTACTCTGATAACGAGCATATGTTTTGAAAATTTTTACTCTGAACTGTGTTATGGTTTATGATATCTTTTATGAATAAGGTTTTAGAAATGATTTATAAAATAAATTTTTAGTACGGATTTTTGGGACATTACAGATGTTTTATGAGAGTGGGATGATTTTTTTTAGAGGCGTAGGTACTTTGTAGGTAGTAGGGATGGGTATGTATTCTGTAGGTGTCGAGGGCTATTCGAGAGTTATTTGAGAGTGAAGCGGGAAATTGGGTTTTAGGAGGCGTCGCAATTCTGTAGGTACAAGGATGCGTAGGAATATTGTATGCATCAACAAAATTGACAAATTGATGTATTATAATTATATATGATCTGAAAATTATTTATAAGCCAGTTTTTTTCAATATAATTAATATAGTTTATAAATATTCTATTTTTTTTAAATGATATCTTTTACCTTTTTGATTCATTATAAAAATATAACTTAAATTGAGTAATTGAATATAATCCCATCGATGTAGTATTTACTAAAATTTAAATTTATTAAACTTTAATATTTATTACAAAGTTTGTAAATACATAAAACAAATCTCATTTAATTTGGAAAATATGATTGCTTTATTTTCAACAAGTTATACATAATATAAACTTTCATACAAACGTATAACTCGGTGAAAAAAGCAATCAAAGTATAATTATATTGTGAAAAAATAAAACGAAAAAAACGATATTTGACCCTTGAAAAAACGAAAAAATAAAAAAGAATGTAGGTAATGTGTAGGTAATCCGTATTTACCTACCAATTACCTATGACTTTTTTTATTTTTCTATTAAATGGTCAAATGTCGTTTTTTTCGTTTCATTTTGTTCACAACTTCATTATACTTTGATTGCTTTTTTTTTTTAACCAAGTTATGCATAACATAAAATTTCATACAAACGTATGCATCATTAGAACCCATTACTATGTACATAATAAACAAAAAGCAATCTATGTTTGTTCCTAAGCCACAATTAACATCATTAAACAAATACATGATATACTAAACATAATACATACATATGGTGTGTATGTAAATGCGTACTTATTTGTATTTGTGTATAGAAAATAACTTGGTTTATATAAAAAAGAGTTGTAAATGAGAAAACAAAGAAATCAAAGTATAATTATGTTGTGAAAAAAATAAAACGAAAAAATGACATTTGACCCTTAAAAAAAAGAAAAAGTAAAAAAGATCGTAGCTAATCTGTAGGTAAATACGAATTACCTACAAATAACGGTAATCGGTAGTTACTCTGTACGTATTTACCTACAAATTACCTACGGTCTTTTTTATTTATTTATTTTCCAAGGGTCAAATGTTGTTTTTTACGTTTCATTTTAGTCTTATCTGTTTAGATTATTTGATTTAGTCTTGCAGTAATTTTAGGAGTAAAATAAAATAGTGCATGGTTTGTTACTGAATCGGTAGTAGTTGTTGTCCTAGTTTCTAGGAATCTTTTGGTATTTATAGTCTTGTAGTTGGAGGTTTTCTATTTGTATGAGGAATAACAACAGGAACTTTTGCATATACTTTTTCCTTCCTATATTTCTCTATTTCGTTTGTGTGCAGACTTATAGCAATAGAGAGGGCCTGATTTTCCAACACTCCACACATAAGCAACTTAGCCACCACACTTAACAAATGAAAATTAAAAAAAAAAAGATTAGAAGAAATGCAAGTCCAAATTAAAAGGGAAAGAGAAAGTTAACTAAAAACACATAAAAAGGTGCATGTGAAAAGATTTGATAACCCTCCCATAAGCCACCAGCATCGTTATTTTAATGTTTCTTGGTTTAGACTACTTGTTGAACTTATCTTTATTTGAGTTTTGGTTTAGACATTTGTCAACGCCTATATTGGACAATTTTTAGATCTATGGTTATTATTTTTTGCGTTTGAATTGCAAAACAGGATTTGATTATTGTGTTCAATTATTTCTGCAATTTTGGCAAAAAAAAATGTGTATTATCTTGTATTTTCTCTGCATTTTAAACGGAAAAAGTTGTTACTAAATGATTTTGTTGGAAACAGTCAAAAGTTACATCCGTCGGACAAAGCATACATTGGTGGTCAAAACTGACATCGTTCGGTATTTGGATGGAAATGTCATGTAAATATTTCTCTCGGGATCAGTCAAAGGATCCGTCACAAATCATTACCCACGCCTTACTTTGAGATGGTTTTTCTGTCGGAATTTTCTTCGTAGTAGGCGTTTCGACAGAATTGGCTGTCAGATATTTCACCCTTTTTCTAGTAGTGTACTAGACTAGAGTAAAGTAAAAAAGATTTGTCTTCCTACTAGGATCCATTCCTTGTAGTGTCTATTACTAGCAATCAAAACAATGCATATTGCTATTGGCTACTTGTTTTTTAGGGTGAGTTATCACTAGCCATGGCTTCAAATACTACAGACAACACACTCGAAATTAACTCTGCATTTAATCCTTATGCAAAAAATAGAACCACAAAATGAAAAAGAAAGTTGTTTGGAAAGATGTAACCCAAATTATCTGGTAGTAAAGAAAACAAGTCATAAGAAAAACGTTCAAGGTTAACCAAGTTCACATAATATTTTCCTATGTTTTAAAGTTAAAATACCCCATATCCATAGCAATACATGCACCTCATTTCCGGATGACTTTAGCACGTCTCATATATTTTTTAGCATTTAGTATGCTAAACTCTGATTGATTTGCGTTCATAATGCATACAGAAGTCCCAGATTCAACTTGCTCAGCCTGAGGTAAACCAATACCATTGATTATGTTAAATTCTTCACGCGATTGATCCACGATAGACCTTGAAGCATGTAGCACTTTTTCATCTATCCCAGACGAGATTTCACCATTTGACACAGATACTGCTGCATCTTTGGCTGCAGCTTTAGATGATGTATGTGTGGTTACCCCTGAATTGAAGAGACTAAGCAAGAGCAATGCAGCCATGGATTCATTATCAGCTGGAGGGGAATTCTCCCTGATACTCTTTTCAACACAACCAGAAGCTGTCTCTATGCTGTTTAAAGTAGCAATGTTGGGCTGAACCAATTGAACACTATTCACCCCATGTGTTGATCTTGATCTGTTCTCTTCTGTTAAACGCCTCTGACTCCTATCCAAGAACTTTGAAACGTCCCTTCCACAATCATCTTGAATGGTCTGTCTCTTCCTTTTATTTCCACATGATAGAAGAGAATCCTGAAATCACAAAAAGCGAAATGAACATAAAAGTTGGACCATGATATTTGATAGTAGAGTATCAAATGACTGATTACAATGAAAACCGTAAACTATTGGGTGTTGGACAGGTATGATTTTGTGTGAATTTTGATAATTGCATAAACCTTCTTAGCATGAGGATGAGAAGAATAGAATGAACAGAAAGGATACCTTTTTTGTTTCCAACCTGTTCTCCTCAGGTGCAACCTTTTGGCTTCCAGAAGTGCTTCCACACAAAATAATCTCAGCTGAAGACTTTTTATGCTTCTTCATCACCTGCAAATCTTCTTCATCAGTTCTTGTTTTTCTCAACTGACGTTTGGAACCAAACTCTGAATCTTTGCGACAAGAGTCCGCAGGCACAGGCTTCGTCCTTTTAGCTCGAACAAAGGATCTTTCTCGCTCTTTACATGACCTCTTTCTCTTCTTCGATGCAACGCCAGTCTTAGAATTAACTCGGGCGCCCTTTTTCTTTCTGACAAATGTGTCCAGCGTGAATTCATCAGAATCATCTTCTTCACTTTCGCTAGAAAAATCACTGTCACTATAGCCAGCACTCACAGCATCACAAGGACCTTGAAGCTGCTTATATATGTCTGTCAACAGGCGGAATTTCCGAGGTTTCTCTCCTGCCAAGTTCCTTTCTTCATCACTGTTAGTATTAGCCCCATCATCATCAACAACTAAACGCTTTTCATTTCCAGCAGCTATAATGTCTTCACATACACTGTTCTCATTTTGGTACTGACCATCATCCTTCAGTTTGAGAGAAGATGACTTCGAGGGTCCGTCATTAGTATCTTTTTGTGAATCATCAACGACTACCACATCTTCTGGCTTATCATTTTGGTGCTGAACATCATTCTTAAGTTTGCGAGAAGATGACTTTGAGGCTCCATCAGCTATAATATCTTCCAGTGAATCATCAACAACTACCGCATCTTCTGGCTTACCATTTTCTGCAGCCACCATATCTCCGTAGATGACTTTTTCATTCTCGCAGTGAGCATAAGTTACCTTGCCAGAAGCTGACTCCAAAGGTGTATCATTGATAATACTGGTTGTATCATTGCCAATAACCACACCTGCAAAAACGAACATACTTTCTGAATTTGAAAGCTTCGAAGGACTGATAGACCTCACATCATCCCAAATTTCACATCCAGAACTTGGATGACATGATATTTGTTCCGAAGAATTCTATCAATTTAAGGTTTACATACATTTGGAAATGATACCTGCATGGGTTTCTGAAACGGCAGCTTGTCCATCTGGATTTCTGACTTCAAAATATATCAAAGCTGGGAACAATATAAGCATCAAAGAATTAAAAGATGATCAGATCTAGGTTTTAAGTTCTAGAGTACTATACTAATTTCCATCACTTACAGTTCGTAGCTTGTGTATTTTCTGGAATATTAATCAAGGCATCATTAATTAGTGAAGCAAACACCCTTTCTGCTTGATAATTAGATTCTGGAGAGTAACTAGACAGGTCAAAGGGACAACATTTCTTCCAATCTTTTCTCCGAACCTCAGCAACGTACTGACTGCATTTGGCATTGAATTCATTAAAAGATAAAAGGTTAAATCTGTTGATCAAAATGAAAAAAGGATATAGTCTACATTGGTGCATATATACACATAACATATTGTGTACGTATTCCAATATGCATATATGTTGTATGCAAGCGATGCCACACATTCATAACTAAAAGACCATAATGATCATGATGACTGATATTGTACAGTTGAGAATAAATTGAGAGATATGATAGTACAAACCAAAAGGACCAAGTTAATTACAAAAACAGTGTTTGGAATCAAGCTTAATAGATATACTAATTAAAAACTCACACATACCGAATACAGAAATTTTCAAATTCCTTTGGTTGAGTACTTGTATCTCCGATCGAATTTGTCTCCATTTCAAGCAATTGTAGACTGATGATGGTAACCAACACCTGTGAAAATCAAGACTTATAATTGACACAATATCTACTAAAACAGGAAAACCCCCTTATCAAACACAATACAGGAAAAAATCACTCCCAATATAACTACAATCATATACATATATCATTCAAATACTTAGATAGACCATGTGTGGCACATTATTTGAAAGGAGACAAACATGATTGCAGAATTTTACAATCATCTTACAGAGAGATATCATAGTATAATCGTGAAGCATTTAATTCAAAGGAGGATCTTAGATTACTTAAATTCATTATATGTTCTACAAGGAAATCGCTAGATTCACATCCTCTTCTAGATCAATTGTGCTGATTAATTCTAGACAATTAAATAGCTAATTCAAATCATTGCCTTGAATTGATGAAAAGAAACAACCACAAAAACACGATACGGAAAGTGTGGCGAAGCCGATCTAATGTATAAACCCTAATTGAACAACACAACAAGAAAGAGTTGACAACGAGATACATTATCGCGTTCCCCCTTTTTCAACAAAAAATCGCAATTTTTATAGCAAAACCAAACCCTAGTTTTTTATAGCAAAATTAAACCCTAATTGAAACACATAAAAGATAAAAGATAGTGAAAATGCATCATTGTCTCTCATATGCATCGCATTACATATGTGGAGAAATCGATGGATTAAAATCTAATTGAAATGCCGGAAGCCTACCTTGAAAATTAAGCACATAGGGCTAAATGTTAAGAGTTCTTGCGGTAGCTACGTCTTATATTTCGGAGGTCAATTGCAAACTACAAGAAGAGAGAGACTTATTTCGAAGGCTAAACTGGGCCACAAAGACAATATAGGTCACACATTTGCTCGCCGCTCGTGTAACCATGAACCCAACTGATATCCCCTTAGGATATTTTATATCCTATAAGGGATCTACATATAAATGATATATACATCTTCACATCAATAGAGTTTTGCCAAACTGAATTAATAGGACTACTCAATTTAAATGAAATTTGTTAAAGAGATCTACTGCTTTCTGATTTTAAACGGGTACATAATTGCCACTTTCTACATAAAATCTTATAAATAGCACATGTATATCAATGCGAAAGAAATTGTCCTGTTGTTAAATACAATTAAAATACTTCTTTGTTAAAGAATAAGCACAAGAAGGAACAAACTACAATAGCATAGATTGACTTGCCTAATCAAAAGACATCAAGTAAAAGATGAGGTGGGCAATAAATATATCTATCTTAGTACCTAAATCAATCAAATTCCTAGATGAGTATTGAATGTACAAAAACCTAAAAGGCAGGTTTTATATAAATTTCTATATGCATAAAAAAGATAGCTACTTAAGATCAAGCTTAAGTTGAAACAAAAGTAAATCTTCATGCATATAACAAAATATTGTGCAAATAGAATATTGATATAGTAAAGCTTAACATATTAAATTAAAAGGAAAAGATAAGAGGAAAAAGATTAAACTCATCTGCTGGAATATGTAATTTCAAATAAATTTGTCGATGGATTTTGTAATAAACCAAAAGAAATTCAAGTCCCATATAAGATGTTGATCTATCATGGTTCTAAAAATCGCGCCATGGCGCGCCTCAAGGCGTGCCATGGCGTAAGGCGTGGTGTAGCCATTACGAAAATGTCCAAGGCGGGTTTGTTAAGTTTGACGCCCAAATAACGGGTCAAGGCGTGCCTTTTCGCGTTATGGCGCGAGTTTTTTTCAAGGTGCGGATTTTTTCGATTTTTTTTGTTTTTTTTTCTGTTTTTTTTGTCGGGCCTAAAATAATTGAGTTTTTGTTAACTTTTTTATATTAAATATTAATATAACACTTCTAAAAGCGTCTTATATTTGATACAATTCAATAATTATATGATTTATCTATTTTAATGTATATAAAATAGTCACGCCTTGAAAAATGTCATGGCTCGCCAAGGCTTGGCATAACTAACTTAACTTTGACTTCGCCGCCAAGTTACGGCTTATGTTTTTTAGAACCTTGTGATCTATTGACAAAGATTTTCCTTAAAATTTCCTTGGGTAATATCTGAGAAGAAATGATAAAAGAGGAAAGCTTGATATTGTAGGTAGAGAAACACTAAGAGCTAGTGCGAGACATGTACCATCAAGGTAGTGTACATGTATTACAACCACGATCAGTTGCATATATACGGCGAGAAGAAATCCTATAGACCTGAAAAGCTACGTCTTAGGACTTTTGACTTCATATATTAATTTGTTTCGTTCTTATCTTTAGTAAAACAAATAATAGCAGGATTAATAAATAATTTCTACGATATATATATATATATATATATATATATATATATATATATATATATATATATATATATATATATATATATATATATCTATATATATGTATATATATATATATATATATATATATATATATATATATATATATATATATACCCTTCTATATTTTTTATTATTATTGTGAATACAACAAAGCGACCCTACTACAAGTACTTAAGTTGTTGTTAAAGGTAACAATTAAGGTTGACACTCTAGTTGTGACAACTATTGGGTTTTAATGTTTTATACAAACAACCCTACGTGTGCATGCAACCCTAGTTTGGATTTATGTTTTCACTATTAGACAGACTACCAATGAACACAAAAGGAAACCCTAACATGCATCTAATATTTCAAAAATCACAAAAAAAGGGATTAGAATACATACCTTTGTTGCTATATAGTAATAACAACTAAATCTTGAAGTTCCTTTGCTTTTGAGAACAAGTACCACAAATGTAGTACCTCTAATGGCTCACAAACACACAAAACTGAAAGGATGAATATCAAAGAGAGGAGAAAATGTAACTTTCTCTAGAAATCATCTCTTTTAGGGTTTCTATAAGGGTAGGATGAATTCTTAAGCCTAAGGGGTCTATTTATACTTGAGGCTAGCTAGGGTTTTACGGTGGAAACCATAATCCCTTAGTTTAGGGCCTAAGCAAGTCCATCAACCTCCTTACATTAGGCCTTGGACAAAAACTCCTAGATCCTTCTAGAATTTTCGGCCTAGCCTTAATAAGGGTGATTCAATGGTCCAAAGCCTCAACTATAAAATAAATACAAACAAACCCCTATACTTTTAATCAGTTCCTTTAATCCCAAAATTAGTTCCAAATTAATTTCCGATTAAATACTAATTAATAATATGATTCCAAATTAATATCTTATTCATCTAATATATTAATAAATCATATTTATGCCCGAATTTATTATTCTTAATATTAAATCAACGTCTCTCCTCAACAATCATCCTGTCTAGTCACCAGTGTGAAGGCAACCTAAAAGGATCATGCTACTAGCGGGTCAAGTACATCCCATTTATAGTTATGGGCTTAGACATCTAATCCAACAGTCTCCCTCTTGGATAAGTCTAATAACTATAACTACCAATGTAACTTTAAAATCCGATTAGCAATGGTAGCTCTCAATAGTTGTTGTCAAACTCTGACCTAGTCAATGACACGCCCTTTAGATAAGGGATCGTATACTCCTCCATTCTTAAGATATCGTGTGGACAAATATATGGACCGTAGTCATACTTATTGTCTAGCAATTTGTTTCTCGATCTTTGACTAACATAGAACTTAATTGAACACATCAATTCAGTCCTGACCGGGCCCGACACATAAGTCAAACCAAATCATCGAGGGGCCCAAGATATTGCTTTTACCCTCGGAGGATAAAACGAAGAGATAAACTTGACTTATATGCTTTTACTATTTACTCATCAAATCATACACAACAATACATTTTATAACATCAAGTTACTGACGCATTTACGCATTGTCAATGCACCACCAAGTCGTAAACAACAACTCATACATATAGGTTTAAAGACTATATGATATTATCATCTCACAATCACTCGTGATTAAATTTCATAAAGTAATTCATGTGAGTGTGGGTTTAATCCAATACTTAAATTTTATTTCAGATGCACTCATGAACGTTGCAGCAAACCTTTGCTATGTCTAAACGCTTAGACCATCTACAAGTTGACAGTCTTCTTTCATACCTACTTCCAAAGTATGAACGATTGTGGATAGTTTAAAGACAAAACTGCACAAATGGTCCCTGTGGTTAGCTGAAAATTGCCACTTTGATCCAAAAAAATTTGGACTAGCACCAGTGGTCCAAACTTTTCATTTTATTGCGAGTATGGTCCAGTTTCCTTTAAACTTTTTCATAATGACTATTTTGCCCTTATTGTTTTTTTTCTTTTTTCAGTTTTTTTCTTATTTAAATACTTTTTTTATTAAAAGAAATAAAAAAGAAAATTTACATTTTCTATTTATTTTTATAATTTTTTCTAAAAAAAAATGAAATCTCTCTCTCTCTCTCTCTCTCTCTCTCTCCCCATTGGATAAGGATATCCACACAGACACCTCCTCCGATCTTCTCCACCCCAACGCTCTCACCACCGCCTATCGCCTTCCTCCAGTTATAGAGTTGTGCCACCAGAAAACCACTAGGGACCACCAGAACATCACCACTGCCACCACCTATTTACCCTCCTACCATCGCCGATCAACCCACCAACCTTAACCCTTTCCCTCCTCCTTCCTTCTGGTCAAACCCATTGAAACAGGAAGATGAAATCAGTAGAGCTGCCATCTCCACCCACCGCCACCGTCTTCACCTTCTTGTTTCGCCACTGTTGATGAAAGTCCGACCACCACTTTATACCCCTTCCTCTCGACTGAAAATCACCACCAAACACCACTCCCATTCGATTTCTCCACTGAATTCGACCAGAACCCAACCAAAAACGAGGCCAAAGGCTACCGGAGCAACCTTCGACCACTATAGCAGGTAGTCGCTGATGTGGGACACCGCCGCCAATAGCTGATGTTTCCGCCGACCCTCTCCAACCAGTCTCGTCACCTGGAAACTCTAACCCCATTTTTGGTAGCCGCCGGCCTTGGTCGCAG